CCCATCGCCATCTTTTGAATACTTTGCTACTGGAGACCCTACCAGGGGCAAGTCAAAACTCCACCTCAATAAGGTGGCAATTCTTAGAGTGGAAGCTTTCAGGACACATGTCTTGGTGGCTTTAGGTGCTGAGCATGTGAACCATGTGATCACTTTATGTTCTAGCAGTTGCCTATATATACAGACTGTGGGCAGCGACTCATAACAAGACTACAGCTACAGACAAGAGAAAGAAAAAAAAACCCAAAAACTTATTACGAAGAATTTCTGGACTCATCGCTAGAGACGGGGTGAGATTAGACATTTGGAAGAGGCTCAGAGTCAAACCAATACTGGGATGGATATTTCTCAGCATTTAGATAAGGTGTTCTGGCCATGTCTAGCTGAAACAACAGGGCAGTGACATCAGCAACAAAGAGAGGTCCGGTTTGCCTGGTCTGTACCCACGACCAATAACATAGCTAAGTGCATAGAATACATGTCTGAACTATACAAAACTGTAATTGTATATTCCATTATTAGCTTGGGATCCATTAAAATGATGAAATATCACAACTCTTTGTTGTCACACTTGTCTGCCTTGGCGGACAGATGTGGGATTTATTAGTCTTTTATTCTGCTGAATATAATTTTAAAGGAATGTGATTTTCACATGATGTATTACAAAGCTGGAAAAATAAGTAAAACTTTAGGCTCAAATACCTACTGAGTAATTCTGGTGGACCTACCTGATCTTTAACCTCACTGCTACTAAATGCAAATATCCAAGTACTCACTGATTTGCCATCTGCAAAGGGATTGTACTCCTCTAACCCTGGAGGAGACATCTGTCTCACTTGTGTCACTGATGGATCCTAAAAAAAAGGAAGAAAAAAGGATTCAAAGGGAATGCTTTACATGAGATAAATGTAATTGAGTAATACTATTTTGTTTGATCTGTCTTGTCTTTGTGTTTCAACCAGGGATAGCAGTAGAAATCCCTACAGAGTAAAACCCTCCATTATTCTGCTGAGATCCAGGCCAAAGCTCTCTGTATTCAAAATGCAACAGGCCTATAATTCAATACTGGCAAAGACAAGATGATTCCAATAATTTTCACGAGAACGTCGTTATAAATAGCCAAGACCACGAGTTTCTTGAGCTGCTCTGGCAGCCAAAGACCGAAATAAAAAGACATACTTTGGTTATGCTTTGTGCTCCTAAAGTGCTAAAGCACTCCATGCTTCTTTTAACTACAGTCCTAATTTGCCAGACTGACATATCAAAACTACTTTCAAAATAAAGCAAGCCACTACTTTATATTCTACCTCCATTTGCATGCAAAACTCCTTTTTCCTGTTGGTGTCAGCTAAGCTACATTGTCATACATCACTTTTGATAATAAACTCACCATCAGCTGCCGTCAGTCACGCACGAATTTCAAATTGTTGCTCAAGATTAACATCTAATCCGTATAGTCCGAAGTGCTGTCCTTATCCCGTCTCAGTGCAGTCCTCTCCGTCTCTCTGACTCTTAAATTTCTACTGTGCCAACACACACACGCGCGCACACACACACACCTTGTCACCAGACCAGGAGCATAAATATTTCAGGGCCTGTCGTGTTTAAAATTTAACGCTGCACTAGTGCGTGGCTGGACAAACACATACTGCAGATTCACCAAAGTCTTCATTTTGAAACCTCCAGCTCTGGAGTTCCTGCTCCAGAACCTTTAAAAAACAAACAAAAAAACCAACAACCCCCCCCCCCAAACCAAACAACACAAGGAGAATCAGCAAACGTGTGTTCACCATGATCTTGATTAAAGTGCAGGATTCAAAAAAGGTGCACTGTTCAACCACCTGACGACACCATATCTAAGACTTCAACTCTCTGTGGTTTCTACTCATTTCACATTTGATTAAGCTACAAACCTTACAAAGTGAGCTCTTAGCTGCCTTACAAAGTTTTTTTATTCGCTAACATAGAACCTAATGTCTGAGCCCACATCCAGAGAAATAGGCCAAAACAGCCTCAACAATCTGATGCATGACTGCGAGTGATGAAGCTTAGTAGGAAAGGAGCCAACGAGTACCCTGGAACCACATGTCACCATATGATTTCATGAACTATTGAACATAGCTCAGAGAAGGGAAAAAGCTCCCATTATCCTGAGGCAAGGCAGCCAGAGCCAACGCATGACAGAGAAGTGGGAGGACAGCAGGGCTTCAGCACTCGTGTTAGTATGTTAATGAACCCAATTAATTATTCACTCTCCTTGCGTCTGTGTGGTCAGCCTGTACCATCTTCCCATCAACGCTGGGTTCTTTTAAGTCTGTGCAATGAATCAAATCAACTAAAATAGATTTTTTTTAATGTGGTATTCTCTGACAAAAACAAACAAAAAACACACATGCTTTCCTTGTACTGTGTAGAACCGAGCAGGCACAGATATATCACAATTAACAAATGCATTGTCTGAGGTTAAAGAACCACAGGTCTAATTCTGGATTAGTTTGATTCTGACTCAGAAAATTAGATCTGTTATTTATGACAAAAGGCTGATCTATTTAGTTCAGCTGTATGCTCTGTTTTATACTGCTAAATATCAGCAGCAGTGTACTGGTGGCTACCGAGAGGAAGTTAACAGCAAACTACCAACAAATGAGATGACTCGTATAAAAAACTGTGGCTTTGGCTTCTCTTTTTGTTGTTATAACACTTGCAGGGAAGTATTTACTACATTTACAGTAGAACAAGGTGTTGTCATCTATCAATTACTGCTATTTTACTTCCTGCTTCTTACCAGCAACATAACACACGTTGTGTGTATGTGGATGTGCACAATATTGACTCTTAGACTGAGCTTAAATTAAGCTTACTGTAAATAAATTACAGGATTACTACAAATACGTGGGTTCAACCACTAGTTTAACATCAAACAGAAGACACCATAATGTGCATTTTGTAAATTATCCTCATTTAAAGAGCATAATTTATAATGTTCTTTGAATGAGCAATGATATTTGAGGGCTTCTAGTTTCCAAATATGAAGATTTGCTCATGTTCTTTGTTGTGTATGACAAAAATAAAAAGTTGATTTTAAGCTTTTGATGGACATAACAAGCACACTGAAGATGTTACTGCTGATTTCAAGAAACTCAAAATGACGTCCAGATGAACAGAATCAACTTTTGGAGATCTAAATGACAGTCCATTTATTTATCTTTTAAGCATTTCATAGAAAATACTAAAACAGCATTAAATGTTTAGATTCTCAATCAACTGCTAAAGAAATGAACCCAGTTTGGCTGGTTGATGTTAAACAAACAAACACTTCTTTAGCTTATTCTTGGCATGCTCCAATCAAACAATCAATGTTAAAACAACCAACGTGGTCTTAATGAAACTGAGGGAAGCACCTCGTGATTATTTTAATTAATAAATAGTCTTATGTTTTTGGTCCATTAATGTTAGAAATTTCAGAAAATAGCAAAACTTTATTGTTTTGTTGAGTACACCTGATATGAGCGGAGGAGGATAGGCCTGGAAATACCAAGGAGCACATGATCACATGAATGCTTTCATTATGACACAACACTGTGTGAGCGTAAACACAAGACGTCTTCAGTCAGACGCCTAAATAAAGACAACAGCACAATAAAAGCAAGGGAAAGGATGTTTGTCTCTGTTTTTACGTTCCTACACAGCATTACATGATCAGTTTTTAACATTATCGTCTCCAGGTTGGCAAGTTGAGTCAATCACTCTAACGTAATGTCAAACATAAAAGAAACAATACGCAACATCTGAGCATAAGTTGTTTAACCAGGTCGTAAATGTGAGGAAAAATGTCGAACAGGTGGGAATTTAAAGGGATGGGGGATAATTATAACAAAACCCAGCGACCCAACCTGCTTCAGTTTGAATCAGAGCCAACACCTGGAAGCCTAGCCTCATATATTTTAATGTTATGTCACTTCTGCCAGTCAGAGTGCGGCAACGTTAAGTGACAGTTCAACTGAAACCGAGCAGCAGGAGGACGAGAGGGTTTTGGCAGCAGCTAATTTAAAGTCGCCTTATCAGAGCAGGTTTATTCAAACCAACCCCATGCCAGTCTTTCCTAGCCACGCAGTCTTAATGTAAAATGATACGGCAGCTAAAGTTAAAGTGGCTAACGTAGGCTGTTAAGGTTACCTGAAACGGGTTGCTGAAGTCCGGGTCCGCGAAAGGGTTGCTGTCGAAATCTGACATTGTCCAAATAGGACGACTTATTCCGCTAAATGTGTCTTAAGGCTAATATTTATAGCCAAAGTCGGCGCAGACAGTTAAAAAAGACCAACTGTTTCGAACAAATTGTAATAGAAAAGACAAGGGCTGAAGTCAAACGTCAGACTGTCCAGGTGGGGGATTGGTCACCAGCAGCGGAACACACGTGACATAACGAGACGTCAGGCGGAAGTAGGGAAACGTCAAAAAAATAAATAAATCCAAAAAGTAATTTTTTTTTAAAATAATGTTTTATTTAGAAATAATTTAACGCTTTACTCACACTCATTTTTACATTTTGTCATAGAATTGTGACATTTTATCTCCGATTAAATGTCAGGTCGTACATCGACTTATCTACGTAAATGAAAGAATTAAATATATTTAATATTTATAAGTTATTTTAAAAAATAATATTATTACTTGGAAAATATTTGATTTATTTTTTTTTATACCCGCACTCATTTAGACTTTTTGTCGTAAAGTTGTCATACTTTATTACACTTAAAGTGTAAAAATAAAGTACGACAACAATAGCACAAACTTCAGGAAAACCCACTTTTCTTGAAAATATCCTGGTCTTGACAAAAATGTTGCTGTTTTGACCTTGTGGACTTTATCGTGATGCTTTGGCTATTCAACGTTGTGGCTACATCTATTTTTTGGCCGGCTCTCTTCTAGTTGCGGTAGATCTATGAGCTCTCTGCCTCTGAATCCCTGTCATGTGACGCTCACTTGTCCAACTCACACTTCCGCTACTGCGTGTAAAAAGTTGGGTGACACATTAAAGAAGTTTTTGCAGGAACTTCAGCGTCAACATTAAGTTAACATTATCACCAACTTTATGAACATTTCATAGCTCGTAAGAAAAGGCGAGTAAGTTTTCTTTGTCGGCCGTTTGTCTTAAAGCTCAGCATGTCGACAGGAGTCTCATACAACGACCAAGGAGGAGCGGAGGCTGCGGTGGAAGCGGGTCAAGAGAGCACCCCGACCTCCTCGAGCACCGGAGCTGCCTTCGGACTGTTCAGCGCCGACTTTAAAAAGTAAGCTAGCTCAGCATGTGTTCCGTTTCTCGTCACGGTGGTTGTTTTTTGGCACAGTTGGGTTGTTTTTGTTGAACTCCATATGGCTAACTTCCAGTGTCGTAGTCTTGAAAAGAGGCCAGTAGCATCCACAGGCAGGGCAATGGTGGCAAATGACAGCACCCTATCCCTTCTGCAGTAAGCAAAGTTGAGCGATAAAATGGCAAGACGTGGCTTGGACGTGTTTTGTATTTGTGATCACTGAGTTTTCCTTTTTCTGGTTGGTTTTCCAGTTGCTTTGCACCTTTCTGTGTGCTCAGGGTGTACTTGTATTGCCTGTTTTTTTTGCTGTTGGTTTTTCTTTTCCATCTCGTGGTTGTTTTTCATATTGTAGTGTACACTTTTTGTCACGTTTTGTCATTTTTGCGATCATTTTTTTTTTACTATCTCCACCTGATTACTTTGTATTTTACTGTGATTATGAATTTTGGTGGCTCTTTTGTGTATTCATCTCTGTCCGCTTTGTGATTGTTTGGGTTAGTTAGTTCAGTAAGGCTCCAGTCATTGCAATCACTGCACAGGGAGAGCTTGATAAAATATCAACTGCAGTGGCTTCATCACAGAATCTTCAGATACCGGTATTTATTGTGAAACAGCAGAAAGTGCTTGCATGTTTTTAAGCGGATGCTACACACTTCACTGTTAAAAGGGACGCAATCCTCCCCACTGTCGCAAAGTGGGGGGTTATAGTGGAACACCTGATAGTTGGAGTTCTCTTCCAAATCTTTCAAAAGTTTTTACCAGTTTAAAGCACTTTAAGATGAGAGCTGCTGTGAATTTGCTGGCTATAAATGAGCAAGCGCTGGGACACACGTGTAGTCCTGTTCCTGCAGGTGGATTGCGCTGACCCTATTACACAGTGGTCAAAAGGCTTAAAGGAAATGTCGAAAACTTCATTTTTTTTAATGCTCATTAAAGCTGCTGTTATCCAGCTCTAAGCAAGTAAAGGAATCCTTGGAAAGATAAGTTTGCTGTATTTCTTGTCTGTACTTTATTGACCTCTTTCTGTCTCAACCTGTTTTCCAAATGTCATACTGGGCCTATTGACTTGTCAACAAGTAAGATGGTCTTATACTTATATCATTGATCTTTGTTGGATCAGTTTTGTGCTGCATAACGCTTAGTTTATACGTCTGCTGTAAATCTATCTAGAGCCTATGATGTAGCCCACATAAGTGCCCCATACATTTGCAAGCATTTATACCTGTGCTGAGAGTAAATGATCAAATATGGAATGATGATAAAATGAAAAGTTTCAAAATGTATTTTTTATCATGAGAATTTCTTTGTTTTCTTGGCAGAAAAAAAGCACAATAACTAGCAAAACATAATATACCACCAAAAAAAGGAAATAAATACTGGACCCAGAATTTGACAGTCAGTACATTTCTTTCTAAGACCAGCAAATGGAGAAATGCTAATAAGTTGCCTTCATAAGCTTGTGTTGCTCATGTATTTTAAGTTCCATGTCTGCATTCTACCACTAGAGGGCAGCCAATAACCAGTTTAATCATCTTTTGACTTTGGAAATTTCTTGCAAATTCTGTGACTATGCATCTCAGTTGTTCTAGTGTAACAATCTGTGTTTAAAGGTACATACACAGGGTACCAGATTCTCTGGTCTAGACTTGACTGCAGTACTTAAAATCTGAGGAGCTCTAACTTGATTTAGACTTATGCATTAAGCCTATGTCCCTGCGACGTAACCGGAAACCCCTCTTAACCATACACTGCATCTACTGTGCTTTAGCAAATTTCCTACTAAAGCATAATTCAGGCCCCAGTCTGTTAGTAAGTTTTATACATTCATAAAAGTTTTGGGTCACAGTTCAGCTTCTGATTTGATTTAAAGCTTTTCCTGCAGGATCCGTCCTCATGTATCCTTTTGCTTTTCATCACTGATGTAATCTTAACAAGAAACATTTCCGAAATGTTTCTTATTAAGTTGAAATAAACCTTAACACTGTCTCACATGATCATCTACCCAGTTGGGGGAGGTTTGGTCATGTGTTTGGCCAACTCAGGGCCAAGCTGAGGGACCAGAAGAATATGCAAGGGCTTGAATGATCCTTCTGTTTGTATGTCTGTCAGACACAATTCACAATGACCAAGTCTGTGAATCCAAAATGCATTTCGTGCTAGTGCCAATATCTGCGTCTCATATTAGTGCTGCACTCAAGGCTTGTCAACTTCACCATGTCCATGCTTGGAGAATACATTGCATATTTGTTCATTAGTGTTTTAATAGCTGAGGATATATTTAGAGTCAGTTCTTTTAAAATTAGATCAAATTTGGAAGTTTAGTTAAAATTGCTGAATGTGTGTTGCACGTGATGAGAGATGCAACTTTGCTCTAATATGTTCTAGTGTTTAAAGGGCGCTTGTTTCTGTTTGAGAGCTCTGTGCTAGGGTTCAACAAATCATACACACATAAGGCTAATTTATTATCTGAGACCAAAGAGATGTCTCACTGTGGCCGAGCGGTTTGGTTGTATAGACTTATTGTATTTCTCTGTGTTGAAAGCAGTCACAAAAAAAATAAAAGGAATGATGGATTTAAATGGAATTATACTATTTCACTTCCCTAAGCTTGGGAAGTGGTGGAAGATTGAATTTTGTATTTGAGGCTGGTTGTGCATGTTAAATGGTTATTTGGTATTTCCAGACTACTGGCATTAGTCAGGAGTCATGCAAATTTAGGCTTGCTACTCTTTTTTTGTATTGTTGCTGCCAGTTTATCCCTGAATCAGCTGATAATTCCCACTTGCAAAATATTTTTTTTTACAGTTCTTCTTTTATTACTGCTGTTCCAGTATTGTAGACTAGTCTTGCTTTTCCCAACCTGTTGATAATGTGGATATTTTATAAAATATATAATATTTTAACAACCTTGCATCGTAGATTTAACTTCAGGGTTATTCCACGTAAAATAACCAAATGTGAAAAAAGTTCACATCTGATCTCCTCAGGGTCAGCTGTTTATTCTTCCCAGTAACTTCAGCTCACAGTAAAAAACGGTACCATCATATTATGAATATTTTCCGAGTTGCCGGTGCTTAAAGGACATAGAGGTGGAATGAAATTTAGTGCTTTTAAATTTTGCCAGCATTTTTCATCCCCTTTGACATAAACTATGTTATGTAACATGATATTGATGCTAAAGTTTGGTCATAGCAAAAACAAAACAAAATCATGATTTTTGCTTTTAGATTGGGACCATTGGTGTGGGTGTGTAATTGAACTGGTTACAACTGCTGACGACAGATTAAATGTGCTTTACAGGTTTGAAAATTTCACCGGAAGAACTCCTGTTCTTACGAAGTTATGATGGCTCAAAAATGCTGCAAATGCTGCAAAATTTGGCACCCATTTAGTAACCACCTTTTCCTTTTTTAGATCTGGCACTTCAGACTCTTTTCCGTGTTAGTTTAAATTGATGATGATTGAGTGCCAAGAAATATTTTCCCCATGAAAATATTTTATTTTCTAATTTCATACAAGTTATTTTCTATACACATCATAAGGTCTGTGATCAGATTTCTGCAAAAAGGAGAGACTACATAATAAAATGTGTTTGTGTTCACATATTACAACACAGCATTAAATGAGATGGATACACATGTGGCCTGTTTGTGATAAATATTCATTAGGAGACTGCCATGGGTGTATTATATTCTAATCAATCTCAGCAGTGATGGGGAAAAAAGATTTGAAAAGCTAATAATCAGCCACACGTGATGCAGCTCTTCCTCTTTCTTTTTTTAACCTATTTGAGTTGTTTAGGTTTTCAGTGTAAACAGAAAAAAATTGGATGCTATGTTTTTTTTTTGTTTGTTTTTTTTAAAAAAGGAAAGAAAATTGGATATTTCTGTCGCTACCAAACACAGATTTGTTCCGCTCATGTGCAAATATGTGCTCACTGAAGCCTGGATTATACTCTGTTGTGGACACATACAGCTGGTGACCCGACAGCCAAGTAGTGATTGCTGTTTTATACTTTTCATGTTCACGGGTCCACTTGGGTCCCTGTGTTGTGAATTTCGTCCACAGAGAATTTATATTACAATGCATCAACCAAGCATGTGCCCAGGCGGCGGATTACAAAGAACTATAAAGGGAATAACTTTTTGGCCCTTAGGTCTCCTGCTGTCTGTGTTCTGCAACAGAGTATATTTAAATGGTTACTATAGATGGTGTAAAGGATCAATTTAGCTTAGCTTTAGCAAGCACACACTTTAATTGTGCATTCTTTTTGTGACCATCGTGTGGTCGCGATACCTGTGTTTGCAAAAAGATGTCTGGTCCCATAAAAGTGTAGGAAGGTTGACTTTGTAAACATTTGTCGATGGGCTCAGTTACTCATTGTAGTTTCTACTAAATTGGAAATTATCCACATTATGCTCACTGGCTAACAACCTGTCAATCAGAAGTCCCCAGCCAATGAGAGCGTGATTTCAGTCAGATTCATCCATGGCTTGTTTCAAAACACAGAAGATGGCAACAGTGAAAATGCTCACCTTGAGACTTTAGAACAAGACTTCAACATGGTAGCCATGTCCTTGTCCTTTTTACTTTCTATCATGTTACTCAAGAAAATCTTTTGGAGGAGGGAGCTTTGGATATACCTGCGAAAATAATCCTCTGTCATATTGCGTGTGATGAATGTGATACTGTGTAGAGCAAAAACTTTTCCCAATTTGCGCCAATGTTGCTTACAAAACATTTCAAAATCGAGTCATTACTCAGTCAGGCCCTCATGTTACTCATCTACTCCGGAATAAAGTCCACATTTCTCCCTCTTCAAAACCCTTTTGTACCATTCACATCTTCAGGAGTATTTCCTGACATTCAGCTCGGTGCTGTTATCTTTGATGTCGGCCTGTCCTGTTGGCATTGTCAGTAAAACTTGGCAGACGCATGTGCCCTAAGTGGTGCCAATTTAAAGTAGATTATTGTGCAGTGGTGGTGATGAAAAGTAGCTCAGTGTTTACCCACCAGAGATAAGGCCCTCCTTTTTCCTCTAGAGGGAAGTGACCATAGTCACACAGAGGCAGAGTCACATACACAACCAGGAGCCAGGTGAGACAGCTTTCCATATGAAAGTCAGCATTTCTCAGAATAGAGGAGTAACAGTTTAATATAGTAATGGCTAATTAGCCAAGTAAGCGGTCATTACTCTCAGGCATAAGGATGACTTGCCATTAGCGAGCTGACGGGGCATCTTGTGACTTTTTTTTTCCCCTTTGCCCAACAGAAGAGGAAGGGAGTACCGGTGAATGACAGTGACAAAGCAGTGGAGCCTGTGCTGTTTTTCCACAGTTCCTAGCTTTGACAGTTATGAACTGGACAAGAAGACAGCTGTAAATAAAGCCAAGAGAACTTGGGAGTACACCCTGAAGGAAAGTAATTACCACAGCTCTCTTTGGTCCGTGGAAATTCAGTCAGCCGTGGTTTTGTGGACTCTGTTCTTTAGACAGCTAACACACACACACGCACAGACACCACTGAATGGACTGCAGCGGTATGGACGCTGGTTTCTCTTCTTTGCGCTCGGAGGCAGCAGGAGCCATGAGGACAGTGCTGGTGTCTGCTGAGAACTTACAGCTTACTCTGAAGCCTGAGCTCAGTCAGGAAGAACAGTCACTCACACACACCAACAGTAGCCCTAAGGACTCACACAAAGCCGGGTACTGTAGTAAGACAACACAGGTTATTGTTTTCTTGTAACATCTGACAGCGAAATATATGCGTTTTCCTTTAAATAACACTGAAATCTTTAGATGTAACTAATAGAGGTAACAAATTTTTAAAATGATGTCTATTTGTGGATGGAAACTGAATTTTCAGATTACCATTACAAATTATTCCTTTAGAATTAAGATTATCATATGAAAAAAAGTATGAACAACAGTCATTGACTTGAGTGCAGTCTTTTTAACTTGGCAATGTTTAAAGTGGATTTAAATAAAATATTGAAAACCTATAATGAATTAAAAGTAAAGCTGTTTTCACTCCTGAATGCTAAAAAATGTCACAGGATCAGGTCTAGTTGTGACCAAAGTTGTAGAAGTGTAGATGCTGTTTTCTTTCCCGTCACCACTGAACTAGGCCGATGGCTTCCCCTCCCTGAGCTTGGTGCTGTCAGAGGTTTCTTTCTGTTAAAAGGGAGTTCTTCCTTCCCAAAGTTGCACATTCTCACCTTTGGAAAGACTGCTAGGCGTTGGTGAGTTTGATGCGTGGGTGTTACACAGGCGAGTTCAGCATCTCATGGACTTTGTACAAGGGAGCAGTTAAAGACAGATTAAAGTTTGATCTAAATGTTTGGACAAGTTCACATATCATGGTAGCACATCTGACATGTCAGTGTTTTTAACGAAATGCTTGTTAACAGCGTAAATTGACAGTTTTTATATCATTTAACAGTGTCACCATTTGTCTATTACAGTAAGATATAGAGTAAAGTCAAGGTTGTTGGGAATTTCATTAGTTACGTTTGCTTCTCAGTGGTGTAAACTGACTGAAGTGATACTGAAGTCATACCAAACAATATCAGATATTACAGATTCACATGCAGTGGAGCTTTTTTCAAATTAGGGCTGTGCGATATGACCAAAATCTCATATCCCGAATTCTATCGTCCGATAACAATATAAATCACAAAAATGTAACATTTTCTGTAAATTCTGTGAATCTCGGTCAGCTCGTCTTGCGGGAAGTGTTTCCAGTTGCGCGTCATGTAGCTGGAGTCGAGTGTTTTAAC